GGCTTCAGGGTGGCCACTGCATGATTCAGGAACTCTTAAAGCTCTTCTAAGGTCATTGGTTGCTTCACATTCCAGAAGATAGTGAAGTAATGGCTTTTCTGTGACAGTTTGGCAGAAGATGCACTCTCTGTCGGGGTTCACCAATCTCCCAGTTGCATCTGTAACCTAGACGTAGTCTATATAGCCTAACTGCTATTTCCCTGTGGATTCCTTTTGGGATATTTAACCTTTCTAATTTGGTTGCCTGAAGATACCATGTTGCAGATGGCGAACCTTCAGCTATTCTCTGGTGCAGGTCGGCTTTGTTGAGATGTGAGAGTTTTTTGGTGATGAGTTTTTTATGTTCTCTAGGCTGGGTTGAATTGTTTTATGTATCACTGGATGACGAGTTGACAATTTAGCAATTTCATCAGCTTTTTCATTTAATGGGATTCCAATATGGGATGGGATCCAGTTTAAAGTTATGTTAAGTCCTTTGCCTTTAGCGACTGCTCCAAGATACAAAATGGTGGTAATTATTTCCACATTATCTTTCCACTGTTTTTGTCCTAGTATTTGAAGTGCAGCTTTTGAGTCTGTGTGTATGATTGCATTTTGAGTGTTTTGTGCGATCACATATGCGAATGCCTGTTGTATGGCGAACAGCTCAGTTTGGGTTGATGATACTAGTCCTCCCAATCTCCAATATGCCTGAACGCTGGTCGTGCAAAGAGCAGCGCCAGCACTCTCATTTTCTGTGTCCACCGATCCGTCTGTGAAGATGTGGGTGGCTCCTGCTACTGCTATGCTATACATTTGCTCTTCTATTATGTGCCTTAGGATTGTCGGATCATAGGCAGCCTTTTTCATTGAGAGACTTTCTATTACTATTTTGAAAGTAGGCTCTTCCCACGGCGCGGAAGGAGAATAGAACTTACGTATCTCCGATTTTATATCTACATTTGAGTGAGGTGGAAGGGGTGATGTGGCATTAACACAAGACAGAACAAAATGTGGTATTAATAGGGTATTAATTTCATCAACACAAGACAGAACAAGGGTATTAATAGGGTATTAATTTCATCAACACAAGACAGAACACGAAACAATGGATATTGAATAGAAGTGTTTGTAGAAAGCCTATTGGTCCATATTTCTTGATGCTTCTATATTGGAGCGGAGTCTTGAGGTGGGTAGAATATAGTTGTGCAATAATTGGCTGTTGATTGCTGGTGTTGACTTCTTGATGTGTAGTGCCTCGCAAACGTCAAGCCGCCTGCTATCGCTGTATCTATCGATGATTTCTGTGTTGTTTACTAGGATTTCTCTGGCGATGGTTTGGTTGTGGGAAGAGATTATATGTTCCTTAATGGAGCCCTGTTGCTTATGCATCGTTAAACGCCTAGAAAGAGATGTTGTTGTCTTGCCTATATACTGGGTTTTTTGGAGCTTACAGTCCCCAAGTGGGCATTTGAAGGCATAGACGACGTTAGTCTCTTTTAAAGCGTTCTGTTTTGTGTCTGGAGAGTTTCTCATGAGTAGGCTGGCCGTTTTTCTGGTTTTATAGTAAATCGTCAGTTGTATCCTCTGATTTTTGTCTGTAGGGATAACGTTTCTATTAACAATATCTTTCAGGACCCTTTCCTCCGTTTTATGAGCTGTGGAAAAGAAGTTCCTGTAAAATAGTCTAATAGGGGGTATAGGTGTTGTGTTAGTTGTCTCTTCAGAGGTTGCATGGCTTTTCACTTTCCTTCTTATGATGTCTTCGACGAAACCATTGGAGAAGCCGTTATTGACTAGGACCTGCCTTACCCTACAGAGTTCTTCGTCGACTTGCTTCCATTCTGAGCTGTGGCTGAGAGCACGGTCGACATATGCGTTAACAACACTCCTCTTGTACCTGTCTGGGCAGTCGCTGTTGGCATTTAGGCACATTCCTATGTTTGTTTCCTTAGTGTAGACTGCAGTGTGGAAACCTCCGCCCTTTTCCATGACTGTTACATCTAGAAAGGGCAGCTTCCCATCCTTTTCCATCTCGCGCAGCACGGAACTCTGCTCACCTCCTCTTGACATACCAGAAAATATTCTGAGTCGAAACTACTCCAAGCTTGTACTAAAGAGGCACCCTTCTTGAGCCCGGATGGGCACATGTATAAGCAAGTAGATGGGGTCGCCATGGGTTCTCCCCTAGGTGTCCTGTTTGCAAACTTCTACATGGGTACCATCGAGCAAAAAGTCTTAGTCGACATGAACTTGAAACCGGCCATATACTGCAGGTATGTTGACGACATTTTTACACAGGTACCTGATGTCAGACATCTGCAGGAGCTGAAGGAGGCATTTGAGCAGAGTTCCGTGCTGCGTTTCACTTACGAGATGGAAAAGGATGGGAAGCTGCCCTTTCTAGATGTAACAGTCATGGAAAAGGGCGGAGGTTTCCACACTGCAGTCTACACTAAGGAAACAAACATAGGAATGTGCCTAAATGCCAACAGCGACTGCCCAGACAGGTACAAGAGGAGTGTTGTTAACGCATATGTCGACCGTGCTCTCAGCCACAGCTCAGAATGGAAGCAAGTCGACGAAGAACTCTGTAGGGTAAGGCAGGTCCTAGTCAATAACGGCTTCTCCAATGGTTTCGTCGAAGACATCATAAGAAGGAAAGTGAAAAGCCATGCAACCTCTGAAGAGACAACTAACAACACCTATACCCCCTATTAGACTATTTTACAGGAACTTCTTTTCCACAGCTCATAAAATGGAGGAAAGGGTCCTGAAAGATATTGTTAATAGAAACGTTATCCCTACAGACAAAAATCAGAGGATACAACTGACGATTTACTATAAAACCAGAAAAAAGGCCAGCCTACTCATGAGAAACTCTCCAGACACAAAACAGAACGCTTTAAAAGAGACTAACGTCGTCTATGCCTTCAAATGCCCACTTGGGGACTGTAAGCTCCAAAAAACCCCAGTATATAGGCAAGACAATAACATCTCTTTCTAGGCGTTTAACGATGCATAAGCAACAGGGCTCCATTAAGGAACATATAATCTCTTCCCACAACCAAACCATCGCCAGAGAAATCCTAGTAAACAACACAGAAATCATCGATAGATACAGCGATAGCAGGCGGCTTGACGTTTGCGAGGCACTACACATCAAGAAGTCAACACCAGCAATCAACAGCCAATTATTGCACAACTATATTCTACCCACCTCAAGACTCCGCTCCAATATAGAAGCATCAAGAAATATGGACCAATAGGCTTTCTACAAACACTTCTATTCAATATCCATTGTTTCGTGTTCTGTCTTGTGTTGATGAAATTAATACCCTATTAATACCCTTGTTCTGTCTTGTGTTGATGAAATTAATACCCTATTAATACCACATTTTGTTCTGTCTTGTGTTAATGCCACATCACCCCTTCCACCTCACTCAAATGTAGATATAAAATCGGAGATACGTAAGTTCTATTCTCCTTCCGCGCCGTGGGAAGAGCCTACTTTCAAAATAGTAATAGAAAGTCTCTCAATGAAAAAGGCGCATGCCTATGATCCGACAATCCTAAGGCACATAATAGAAGAGCAAATGTATAGCATAGCAGTAGCAGGAGCCACCCACATCTTCACAGACGGATCGGTGGACACAGAAAATGAGAGTGCTGGCGCTGCTCTTTGCACGACTACAACAGGCATTCGCATATGTGATTGCACAAAACACTCAAAATGCAATCATACACACAGACTCAAAAGCTGCACTTCAAATACTAGGACAAAAACAGTGGAAAGATAATGTGGAAATAATTACCACCATTTGTATCTTGGAGCAGTCGCTAAAGGCAAAGGACTTAACATAACTTTAAACTGGATCCCATCCCATATTGGAATCCCATTAAATGAAAAAGCTGATGAAATTGCTAAATTGGCAACTCGTCATCCAGTGATACATAAAACAATTCAACCCAGCCTAGAGAACATAAAAAACATCATCACCAAAAAACTCTCACATCTCAACAAAGCCGACCTGCACCAGAGAATAGCTGAAGGTTCGCCATCTGCAACATGGTATCTTCAGGCAACCAAATTAGAAAGGTTAAATATCCCAAAAGGAATCCACAGGGAAATAGCAGTTAGGCTATATAGACTACGTCTAGGTTACAGATGCAACTGGGAGATTGGTGAACCCCGACAGAGAGTGCATCTTCTGCCAAACTGTCACAGAAAAGCCATTACTTCACTATCTTCTGGAATGTGAAGCAACCAATGACCTTAGAAGAGCTTTAAGAGTTCCTGAATCATGCAGTGGCCACCCTGAAGCCATCAACACAGCCACTCTCCTGTTCAACAAAGGTGTCCAGCAGCTGGACACCCTCATAAAGACTGTGAAGCAGTATCCTCCCCCACGATAACAGCTTGATGGTTAAATGCAACCTCAGAACACTGGGAAAAAAAAAAGAAGAAAAAAAAAAAAAATTGTACCACTTACGGGCTATTCATGCCCGTGCCACCTCTTGGGTGGCTTAATCTTTATCAATCAATCAATCAGTTCTATTCAGTTGTATATTTGTGAACTAAAGTCTTTGAAAATGTAATAAGTTTTACGAAACGCGCCCGTGTCGCGTCAGACTAGAAATAAAAAATGAATTTTGGAGAATTGATTTTTGATTTACCTCCAACAGTGAAGCGTAATGTACGAAAAATTGAGAAAATTCGTGTTAGAATTATTAATCTTACTTTTTCGGTCATATTTAATAATATATATATTATATATATATATATATATATATATATATATATATATATATATATATATATATATATATATATATATATATATATATATATATATATATATATATATATATATATATATATATATATATATATATATATGGACATATGTTAATATAAATAACTTTAATGTCTTCACTGGAAGAAAGCTTAAATAACTGCGGTTGTAAAACCAACTAAATTGTCTTATCTATCGCTCTGAACACAAATTTCCTCCTTGCAGATGTGGCAGAAATTCGAGACGTGATCGTTGGAGCAGGGTGGAGAGAGACGGACGGGAGACAGAAGCAGGCAGAAAAGACAGACGGAGAGGAGTAGGTGAAAAACGGAGAGAAGAGACAGAAAAGAGGAGCCGAAGAGACAGACGGAAAGGAGAACAGAGGGCGTGAATACAAAGAGAATGATCATGCTAGAGGAAGCTGGATAAGGGTTAGTGGATTTGTTACTGGACCGAACCCTCCCTGTTCTAAACCACTTTCGAACACCCAGCCACACTCCCCTCCTCCTCCACCATAGGTGGGCTCCGTTGGAACACTCGGAGCACCACTGATAGATCTCTTGTGAAGATTACTGTTCTGTAATGAAACACTGCACGACATGAAGACCAGGCGGGTCTTTGGCACAGGAGGAGCATCTCTCCCAGTCATCTCAAGCGCCTTCTTGATGCTTGGGCTGGCCGAGTAAAATCCTCGATCTTGTTCGAAACCAGTCTCAACGCCTATAAACACAGTCCGAAACTGGTATCAACTCCTGTGAACACAGTTCGAAACTGGTATCAACTCCTGTGAACACAGTTCGAAACTAGTATCAACTCCTGTGAACACAGTTCGAAACTAGTATCAACTTCTGTGAACACAGTCTGAAACTAGTATCAACTCCTGTGAACACAGTTCGAAACTAGTTTCAACGCCTATAAACACGGTTCGAAACAACTCGAAGCGGCATCAGCTCCTCTACCAGCGTCAATAAACAAATGGAAATCAGCTGATTTCAAGTCCGTCTCTCGAGGAGCTACTAAACACCCTCCTAGATCACCTCTCCTCCAACTTCGCCATGAGCGAGGACTTCAACGACGACGATGTCTTCCTCTCGCCCTCGGCGGAAGTGCCAGGGATGGACATGGGAGTCGGGATAGGGTCAGGCGGCACCCACGTGGTCAATGGTTCGCGGCCCTCTTCAGGGTACTTCTCGCGCCCTACCAGTGGTGGCCACAACGCTGGCCAGGACACGCCTCCAGCGTCCTCAGGTCAGGCTCTAAACTACCATTTTCCTGAGATTAGTCTCCGATACAAAAATACAAGAAAGGTTAGGTTATGTAGGGTTAGGTAAGGGGATACAACCCGTTAGGTTAGGTTATGTAGGGTTAGGTAAGGGGATACAACCCGTTAGGTTAGGTTAGGTTGGGTTAGGTAAGGGGATACAACCCGTTCTCGCAGTTGCTTATAGTCAATATCTTGCTTATGAATAAGTGCATATGTGACATACTAATTTATTGTGAATATTTGAGTTTACCTTGAAAAGCTGAATAGAAAACCACAACCTGACCTAACCTTCTTAGTATGTTAAGGTATTATAATTAGTACTGAACCTATACCCAACCAACGATAGGATGAGATTTTGGAAAGCATTAGACACAATGAATGATGTTGTAAATGCAGAATTATTAGAATTGATGTAAAATAAATTAATAAAGTACCGTTGTAAAAGCAAGTCCACTTGAAAATTCCTCAGAAACATAACATCTTCACATGTTTATTGTTAGATATATAAAGAATATAATGCATTACACTTTTGTAGTTGACTAATGCAATAGGTTATTGATGGATATTTACTAATTTCTAATTTTAATTTCTCTTTCTCACGTTCCCTTGTTCTCACCCCTATCACTGCCCCACATCCCCTCCCCTCCACCCCATCCACACGCCCTCCACTCCACCCACACGCCCTCCCCTCCACCCACACGCCCTCCCCTCCACCACACCCCAGCACTCAGAGTGGAAGACAAGGCCCCAGAGAGACAGCGAACCCCGAGCCCCACAGGGTACAGGGGGGTGGCCCCAGCCGCACCCACCCTTCCCACCCCTGAAGAAGACGACATTATACACAAGGTAAGGCTGGAGAAGAGAGAGAGGGGGGGGGGTTAGAGAGGGAGAAGAGTGAGATAACGAGGAGTAGAGGCGTCTTGTGACAAGAAGGCTGACCAACAGCCTCCAGGCTTCACCGCTCACTAAGTCATGGCCTCACTCTCACCTGTTTAATATTCCATATTTAAAGGCATACAAGTTACACCATACACAAGATGGTTCGCCAGCGGTCTTCATCCCTTGCTTAACCTTACCCAACCTAACCTAACCTTACCTTGCCCAACCCAACCCAACCTAACCTTACCCAACCCAACTTAAACATTACTTAATAACCCAACTATGTGTATAGTGCAGTTTGTATGCCTTTAAATATGGAATATTTAACCTTACTTAACCCAACCTGACCTAACCTTACCTAACCTAACCCAACCTAACCTTACCTCACCTAACCCAACTTAACATAACCTTAACTAACCTAACCTCCTTTAACCCAACCTAACCTAATAAAGCCTTACCTTACCTAACCTAACCCGACCTAACCTTACCTTACCTAACCCAACTTAACATAGCCTTAACTAACATAACCTCACTTAACCCATCTCATTTGAATTAACTTAATTAACAGTACCAAAATAGAGTAAATGTGAACTTTCTACCAATTATTGACATCTGGACAAGGAGAGCCAAGGAGTCAGTGGAAGAGAGGTCAGCCATTGTTGACCGAGTCGCAGGAGCGAGTTCAGCTCCTATAATTCTCCTTTCGACGATGTGTTATAGAGATCAAATTAGTGCTTCTTCCATCAACACCACACAGTCAACTACTAAACAAGGGAAGTGTCTTTCCGAAATCTTATTTAGTCTTCTCCAGACGGAAATGTCAAGTAGATAGGGTTAATTCCGGTTACCACGCATGACAAGTGACATCACCCAGGTAATTATTCCTTGGTCCTTATCATATATAATATACAAATGTTTCCTCTGATATATCTGTCATATATAGGATTCCGGCTTTATTGCAAGTGTCCTTTTAACAGGTGTAGAAGAGGAAGCAGTACAATTGCTTGGTACACCAGTACATGGTGGATGTTAACTAGCTTCAACTACGAAGATTATTTGGTGTCATCATCCTTGTTTATACCTGGTGAACTAAGCTTCTTAGACAATAAGCTAAGACCTAAATTATCATTCCTAATATATGTAGTTTAATACTGTAGTTTGATTGGCTGCATATATATAAATTTAATATAAAACCCCCCTAATGAGTCGATTTGTGAGAATATTGCAGAAACACAGTTTGCTAAACAACATACAAATTGCTATCGAAATAAACAAGTATAAATTCATATAAATTAAATAAATTTAATTTAATCTGCCCAAAACGCTTTGCATAATAGTGGCTTTAGGCATTGTATGTATAGCTCTATCTATAAATCGATCATTTATGTAAAATCTCTTGTATATGTACCTTACCTGAATAAACATTAAATTTATTTAATATAAATCTCACGAGTCGGTTCCCAACATATGCTTTCGGTCCCCAACAACGGAAATTTTTGTTATACTTGTCAGAGGGCCTCAAGACTAACAACATCACAAACCAGACAAGACAAGGCTGAGCTTCTAGATACCATTAAATTACTGGAGAAACTGAACAATATTTCTCCAGACCGGTTGGACAAAAAGGTCTGATGTAACACCCACCAGGAGTAACAGCTTCAAGCTCAACAAGCCACAGTCTAGGACATGACACAGACGCCTGACAGCTGGGTGGACAGCACTTCGGATTCGTAGTCCTGAGGTTCCGGGTTCGATCCCCGGTGGAGGCAGAGACAAATGGGCAAAATGTTTCTTTCACCTTGGTGCCCCTGTTACCTAGCGGTAAATAGGTACCTGTGAGTTAGACAGCTGCTACGGGCTGCTCCCGGGGGTGTGTGTAACAAAAAGAGGCCTGGTTGAGGACCGGGCCGCGGGAACGCTAAGCCCCGAAATCATCTTATGATACCCCATAGGCTTTTAAACCCATGAAACCCCCTACCCGTCGAAGCCTTAAATGCAAAGATGGATTAAAATCCAGATAGACAAAAATCCAAAGGAACAATAAGGGCAACTTTAACAAGCCGCCGGCTTTGTGTCCCAGTCGAGGCCACGACAGATGATGGCCCTCAGATAAATTCAAGTAAATTAAATTTTCAATGCAGATCATATAGGCCTACAATGAGAAGCGAAATAATAATAATAATGATAATTTATATTACTGTTATATTACTATATTACTATTATATAATATATTATTATTATATTTTTAATAATAATATATATTATATATTATATATACTGCCCGAAACGCTGCGCGTACTAGTGGCTTTACAAGAGTGTAAATACTGTACTATTCAATGTATTCTCACAAACCCAATGTACCTTCTTGTATATATATAAATAATAAATAAAATAAATAAATTCTTAACTACCACTAGTGCCCTAAAAAGCATGAAGTAGATGTTCAATTAATATTGCTAATTTAAAATACATAAAAGTAATCTTAAGCAACTGAGTTAACTGTGTGTTAATGTACTCAAAATTACACACAACAGTAAGCCTACAAAATGATCTTATGTAAGATCATTTGATCTTACATAAGATACATATGATCCTGGGGCATAGATCATAAGATATGATCTATGCCCCTGTTACCTAGCAGTAAAATAGGTACCTGGGTGTTAGCCAGCTGTCACGGGCTGCTTCCTGGGGGTGGAGGCCTGGTCGAGGACCGGGCCGCGGGGACACTAAAGCCCCGAAATAATCTTAAGATAACCTCAAGATCTAAATTTTTTTTACAAATTACACAACTGTATGGTACAACTGGAGTAAATCTTTGTGGTATATATGTAAACTTTAATATTTATTAACATTGACGACTTGAAAAAAATTAAGTTACATTAACATTATTTACACACATCATTGTACTATTTGCAATTAGTTAAATATGCAGGCCCCGTGGCGCAGTGGTAAGACATTCGCCCGGCACTTCGCGAGCGCTTTGGCCTGGGTTCGTATCCAAACCGGGGAGGATTGACCGGGCACCAATCCTTAACTGTAGCCTCTGTTCACCCAGCAGTGAATTTGGTAAACGATTTGGCGGGTCGTATTCCAGGGAACATAGGATTAAGGACTTGCCTGAAAGGCTATGCGTGCTAGTGGCTGTGCAAGAATGTATGAACTCTTGTATAAATAAATAAATAAATAAATAAATAAATAAATAAATAAATAAAACATTATTTTACTAAGACTTTCTTCATTGTTTATATTAGTTTATCATAATGCTTTATAACATTCATTTTCTATCAAAATTATATGAAAGAAAACGAAATAACTTCCCAAGAGTCGCAAAAATATATTCTAACAGAAAAGTGTGGAATAAATAAGATTAATTCATAGTGTCGGAGGCCAGGCAGTCATTTAATATATAGAAAAATATACATTTGTTATTATTGACACATTTAGGTACACCTGCATCTGTGCCGCTGCCCTAGACTATATGAAGGGGAGTACACTGTGTCAAAAAAGCTAGCTACGTGATGCTAAAAATCCCCATCACACAGGATGGTTAGTCATACAGAGGCATGTGAGTAGTAGTCTACACTGGCAGACTCTAGGTTCAATATTTATTTTATTTATATTCAAGAATGTACATTTGGTTTATGAAATTACAGAGACTTCATGTTTTCCATTCTGTAAAGCCACTAGCACGCATAGCATGAAGATATCTTCAAGAACACGAGAGTGAATAAAGTAATTGCAAAGCTCTAGGTACCTCATGCCAACTGTTCTGAAAGGTCTAATAACTGGGCATTCGGTGATGTAGTGTGGGAGATCATGCCGTAGTTCCTGCTCACAGAGTTTGCACCTGGAGTGCTCAGGATTGGGAGTTCCGTCACCTGTAGCCACCTGCCACAGTCACCTGTAGCCACCTGCCACAGTCACCTGTAGCCACCTGCCACAGTCACCTGTAGCCACCTGCCACAGGTAACGGTAACCCAACCTGATCCTGGCAACCACTGTGTCGCACAGTCTAGTGGACGTTATGTCCTGCCCATAGATATAGGTTTCAGATCTGAACAAATCATAGCTTTTTATACTGGTGCTTTCAGGTCTAAGCTAACGCCTGGGTATCTATTCACTGCTTGGTGAACAGATGCACTAGGTGACAGGAAACACCCTCCCAACCATTTCTCTCGCTCCCGAAATTCGAACCCGGAATTCCACATTGAGACCCGGGAACGAACCCGACTGTACTACTAAAATATCCATACCTCTCATAGAGGTACATTCAGGATACAGAATATTATCCCGGGATGGCGAGACAGTTGGGCGCGTCTCCCGGTGCCTCTAGTCACCCAGCAGTAATTGGGAACTTGGTTGTTAGTCGATCGTTGTGGGTAGTTTTCTGAGGAATGGTCAAAAACCGTTCATATTCCAGACAACTTGGAATTTCCCACAACTAAAAACCTGCAAACCACTACTGTAGAGGGATTTGGGCCGGGTTCGAGTCCTAGATAGGGAGAATGGACTGGGTCCCATTAAGGAATATGGTCTAAGTAGTGCTGGAGACTTTCTCGTAAACTAACTGGCGGGTGGTGGTCCAGAGGTAACTAGCAGGTAAGGCTTAAGATGAGCTATGAACTATGTCACCTCCAGGCCAGCTAACAAGGATCACAAGTTGTCCTCTGAACCAACCTCTGTGAACAAAACAAAATAATACAATCCTGGCCAAAGGAGAATTAACATCTAGAGTCACCACAGTAGAGGTGAACATAGAGGTGAACACTATATATACCCTGTAATAATGGGGGACATACAATAGTGCAACAGCCTGAAACATAACACACACAAATCACAATCACAATGCATCAAATGAACAAATCCACAAGGGCCGAGACGAGGATTCGAACCTACGTCCGCGAGGATCCCAACAGCGTCTGGGATGCTCTCGGACGTAGGTTCGAATCCTCGTCACGGCC